CCTGATCTTTTAACTTGAAAAGATATGAAAAGTTACTACCAGAAATCCTACGCTATTGAGAACAAGGGAACGATATATATCTACCTGCCAAATGGCTTGCCTCTACCAGGCTCCCGAAGTGGCTAGAAAAAGTAGAAATCGACCAAAACCTGCCTGGGGAGTTAGTCCGCTAAAGGTGTACAGTTTGCCACTCAGGAAGCTACCAAATGGCAACAGTTGGTCATACTTAATGGCCCCATCTTGAAAGATATCAGTATTCTTTTATGTGCATGAATTCTGACAGAAAATACTCCAGGGTGCTCAGAATTTACCCGTGTTTTCACTCTTTGTTGACTGGAGTTGAGATGACTGCGGAGATAAAAGACAGTGCACCTACTGAAGTGGTGACCCAGAATTCTCGAAATCTGCTAATTGGCCACTCCGCTGTCAGCTATTCACATAAAAATCACAAGCACTTCCCGCGCCGGGGGACTTCATCAAAAGACAACATGCTGAATAATGTGGGGCGTACTGAATCATAAAATGACAACAGAAAGACGGATACCCTAACATCTCTGCCATGGGACATGCAAAGTAAGCTCGTTTGAAAATTAACCGACGCAGCCGAATCACTCAGTGGATGGTACAGAATCCATTCATATTATATCTTTCGGTATGACTTTGGATGAGAAAAACTGTCAACTTTGAGTCATGACATTAAGGCTGCGAAAATACTTTCCCAATACGTAATGCATATGTCCGCAAGGTACTGCTCACCATATATCACTATACAACTGAGGATCTTCAAAGATAATATACAACTTTTATTTCTAAATCTAATAGTCACACAATTACTGGTTCCTGTCTTGCTCAACTGCACCTGTGAAAGAGAACAAACGATACCACAAGACCAAACTTCCTGTCATGCTAGGCTCGCTAATCTCCTTTAAAAGGAAGAGAAATCCTGTTCTGCACTGTTCAGACTTAAAATGTCTACTGACATAATTCCACCAGGTCACAGACATCTGGCACCCTGAAAAATGATTCTAATAGATCTCTAATGCAACGTCAGCCAGTATAATGCACTCAGACATATATTACTGTGCATACCTGGGGGTGCTGCACTAGAGATCTCTAAAACACCCTCTGGTAGATATATGTGTTACCTGACAGATAAATGTTAATGGATGTACATGTAATAGATACCAGGAGATAGGTCACAAGGATTAAACCCATAGAACAGCTCTGTGCATAGAAAAAGTTGATGAGTAATACTCTGCCACAGATTGACACCTTTACAACTGATTGTCACTGCTCAATCCTCAGTCTAGCCTTTAAAAAGTTGTCAGCAACTTATCTCAACAGTTCCATAACAGGCAACAAAAACATACAGCCTCCACAGACCACCCAAAATATAAATGGATCTTAATCAACAACAAACTGAGTGATAAAATAGACTTGTGCTGAAAGCACCTACTTACCGACAAATCCTGTAACAAACTGACCGAGTTTCCTAACTGGGAATGGAAGAGAAAACTGTAGTGGGTTTATGATAGGAAGCAGCGACTTACTCTCGGAGCAGTCACTCGCATGTAAAGCACATCGGCTACTTTAACATAAGGCCCCCCGAGGCTGTCCTGTTTACCTGATGTCATGCCTGAATACAGAGAACAAGTGCCTGTCTACAGGAATTAATGACTGCTATAAGCAAATGATTGGGAACTGGTAGAATAAAAACAACTCTTAAAAACTAAAATAAACAAAATCCAAAAGATACCTAAACCTAAGAAGTTTTAAGAGTGACAAATTACTATCAGCTTTCCCTACTGAAAGATTCCAAAAAGTATCTTCAAAAACAAGATCCTTCAATGTATATCTCTCTTCTGTAGATTTCTACAAAATAAAATTTTCAATAGGCAATGTTTGGAAAACAAGCACAGTTTTCAACAATAAATACAAAACACTTCCTTCTTCAAGTACAAGATCAGATTATAAGTGGCTGAATAGTGACGTACATGTACGGCAAAACAACAGTTACCAGTTACCCAATATTCACGGCTAATCTAGCTAAGTTCTCCTTGTGACGTCAGTAACATCTGCTATATATATATCTATATGCAATAAATAGATATTATGAGGTCATAAAACAAGCATAATTAAATAAGAACAGTACTTGATGTCTTATTATTAGCTAAAACAATTTTCTTACGTCTTCTGCTTACGTACATACGACAAATGCTATAGCATACAACATTTGTCTTACATACGCAGAGGTATCTATACAAAAAATCAATATTTAGTGGGATTCTAAATTGTTAAAATCCTACGAATTGTTGGCTTCTTTATCTTCATTTCTTTCAAAGCCCAAAATTTTCATATTTTGTGTAAAATGTGCAGCATTTCTGTCCACATTTAACACCCTAGGGCATTAATTATGATGCAACACACACGCACGCACAGTCATCCCCTTAACACGTGAAAAACTGACAGACAAGAAACAACTGCTTCTTAACAACCCGTCTTATCACTGTCACGGTCATGTTGAATACGCTATTATATCGGCAGACACTTAAAACTGCAAGGAGACTTACACAAGCTGTGCCTTATACAGGGTCCATATTTTCTGAATGTATGAATGCGAAGCACATTATAACCTTTCTTCACAAAGAGAAAACGCTCTGGTGATCTTTATCTTAATTTTTGTAGGCCATGGTTTATTTTAGTCTGATGGGCATACCTGGATGACACCTGCCTACTGTTGGGAGGTGTACCCTATAATCTCACCTGTCCGCCGTACATGACACACCTTAATTGGACAATCAATCTTGATGTGTGGCTTTTGTGTGGGCCGCTGGGAGCTGACAAACCACAGACGGGACGCAAATCATTCGTTTGACAGCTGGGGATAAATCAGACTCCCCTGTGGGCTGATGACAACAAACAACCTCCCATACAACACCTTTCATCACAGGTATTCTCCTGGCCTGTGCTGGTTATCTTCAAAACTATTTTATCTAGATCACATCGCAGTATGGTTTTTTATTACTACCATCTGTTACCACCTTCGTGTAATAGATATTCAGGGGATAATTTACACCTGTATATTAGAAAGCCATAAATAAACCTTTACGTTAGGATTTTTGTTCTTTCAACTAATATTTGTTCAAAGGAGTCCAAGAAATAACTAGAAATATTTTCTTTTCTTTCTAGATATAAGTAGAGTTCACTTAAGTGCTCTCCCTCTCTCTTTAGAATGTGTTATTTTTGTTTCATGACACAACAGGGCTGTGTATAGGTTGGGCAGCAATATATCATTCTATGGTTGAAAAGGGAAGTATCTAAGTCAAGGATGGCCTTTACAAAACTTGGAAAAACATGTAGAATTTTCTGCCCTCCCGGTTTGGTTTTGCTATTTGTACTACCATAGCCGCGGCAGTCAGGGACCATTAAGTGTACCAACAGGCCACTTTCCACCATTCACCACCTCAGTCCGAAACAAAACAGTCCAGAAGCATTAACCACTTGTTTCGCACAAAAGCGTCTGCCTGACAGAAAAATATTTTTCTTTGATGGCTGGCGTGAAACGCCGCTGCATGTGGAGCGTTTGAGCAGGAATAACAGAGCCCTCCGGAACAATGGCTTGTTGACCTAGGCACCCCGTGTTGGGTAGGCTTCACCTAAGACCATTCAGCAACAAGGTATGTGTTGAGTGAGTGAGCGGCGGGCAGCAACAAGGAAACGTAATTGTTCCTACCATACAGACAATAATGCCAATCAAACACCATTCAGTAAGACTGAAATTACTTCCTTCTACAAGCTCTAGGATAGTTCACCTTGTAACGAATTCAAAGCGATATTACAGACGGACAACAAAATGCTTATAAATGAGAGACAAAGAGAAAGTAGTTCAGAGTATTTCACGATATTGTGCATAGGTATATATACCACACAATGTCAAACATGTTAAGGTAGTGAGTTGGCCCTTGCCTGCATGTTATGTTAGAGTACACTAAGTTAGGTACACAGCAAGGGACTATCAGCCCCAAACAACCACTCAAACATCCAAGCGCAGCCGTGCAAGAATGTTAATGTCGCTTGTTGATGTTTTAGTGCCACAAGTCCCTTCTCCATATTGGCGGCCATTGTTTGCGGGGGACAGAGCGGAAAAACGACAGAAGGACGGGGGTTCCTTTCCTGATCCCAAACGGAAACACAGTTTGACGAGAGGATGTCACGGTTGTTGTAACATATTTGTGACTTACTAAGGACGGAGGGATTTAGTAAAGGTCACTTCAACAGCAGTACAATAGGCACATTGATCTCCTGTTGTACCTTCAGGTAAGGGAGCAGTGATGCTTGTCATTGGACGTTCTGAAACAAGGTGCCTCTGAAAACTAATTAAATGCAATTTAGCTGTACAAACACAGACATACAGTAGCACTACTGCAGCATATTTCCAATTCTGCTTTCTAAAGGGAAAAATATTGAACAGCTTTCAAAAGCATCTCAAACAAAACCATTATGTCAAAATACTCACTGTCCCTTTCACAATACATGCGTACATGAAGTCAATAGACCTTATTGTATAAAACTTAGAGCGTATCTATCAAGGACAGGTAAGGCCCTTACCTCACACAGACATCACTGCATCAAGGGAGATGTTTTCACCGATAACTATACAATAGTGTAGTCCCCTCTCACCAGATTGCTTTAATGTGTGATTCTTCAGGCTCTATGCTGAAAGAAGGTGTTTATGGGTACTGACAGATAAGCATCAGCACCCGGAGGCAAACAAACGATAAAATCTCCTCATCAATCAAGCACAAGAAATGACAGCCTGTCATGGCCACCAAAGATAGCTATCTTCTCACCTCCAAACTTTCCCTGCTTCCTATTGTCACCATACAGATTCCATTATAGTTTATAACTCCCTTCAGTTTCACCAGGGTTAATATAAGTCCGTGTACAAACAACAGTAGTAAAGAGACCTCTACTGGTTTCACACAAAATTGCAGGAGGCATACTAGTAGCCCAGGAGACACAGATAAGACAGGATAATGTGATCAGAGGTAAACAGAACATATCAGGGTTATCTGTAGTCCTGATCAGTATGTTTCCTGGAGGGTACCTGTTGTCTGAAGGATTCAGCGTGGACATTCCTGTGACGGCCTGATAGTACAGGTATTTGGGCTGATAAGATATGACTAATGGGGAAGAATCAACCTGCGGAATAGGACGGTTTATAACTAGTCAATGAAACTAACGAAAATCAAGCTATAGTTTCCTCAGCTTATGCTGTCTTACACTAATCATAAGTCAATTTTTATATGTTGGAAAAAATTCTCGACTATTTTACCAAAACTTCTTTTTGATTTCAAGCATTTTCTGCAAAGCTTTGTATGTTGAGATACAAAATTAGTTTGTCACAATCTAATAAGATTTCTTATATATGTGCAGTGGCCGAAATACTTTTTTTCCGTGCTCTGAAATATTGCAGAAGAGTCAAAATTTTGTTCTGCAATTTGGAAATACTTTCTGCAAAAACATACTAAAACATACTAATAAAAGACACACAAAAAAACAGTTACTTAAGTAGCTGTATATAATTTTGGTGCTACCTAAAATTGTCAGACTATTACGTTTCTCATCAGTGACACTAAGAGACTGAAGGAGAACTGCAGGTTTATAAGCAAAAACTATTGATTGATATGCAAATAAAGTGAAGACAAATTTTTGGAAGTCAAAAAGGAAACTAAAGATAGACAAGTCAAGACAAGGACGATGCAAATTAGTGAAGAAGCTCCTGTTGTTTCAGAACAGGAGCTCAAGTGTGGTCTGTCCTTGATAGGACCTGAGAGTGCTAGTTTGCTAAATTGAAAACTATTGAATCTGGAGTCTATTTTTCCTTCTGCAAAATTGCAGATTGTATAAATTTTTCTTCTGCAATCTTGAAAATCTATCTGCAGATTGCAGACTGCAGACAGGTATTTCGAACACTGATGTGAGTCCTGAGGAAAAAAAGGAACACACCTGTTATAGATGTCCTACGAATACATTAAAAAAGGTCCATGATCTTTTCATCTCCAGATCAGTGCAACACACTGTCTGCATTAATTCTGACACAAGCTGTTGTTTGACTCCAGGTGCGGCAACAAAGAACAATGAACCATGGGAATTTGGAGGATCTAACGACTTGTTTGGGGTCAACCCCTCCAATGGTTGATCAAAGGAAGCCGGCCATAGCTGGAGGTGAGGCTTTAATAGATTAGCATACCTGAATGGTATCTGTTCACCCATCTTTGAACTCCTCGTTGGGTCAAGATGAAGGTTATACTTGGAAATGTTTGCTCTCTAAGATAAACCTTAGCTTTTTTAATCCAATCAGTGTCAGAGCCAATCAGAAGACAGCATCATACATGGCAGGTCTATAATTGACACGTATTGATCAAACTTCAAATTCATCAACATAACCAAGCAAATCATGACATACATTGGAATAAAATTAGGCTGTTGGAAAAGAACAAAAGGCTCAGTGTTGGATTTCCGTGTTGATAATTGACACAACGAGCACTTCTTCCGCTCTAGATATCACATGTCAATATGGCAAGTGGTAAAACATTATCACTAAGGCTTTACATGTAGGTTGATCTGCATGTATCTTACCAGCAGTGAACATTGCATTGATTACAGGTGGTTCATATTATGAATATTCCTTTTCCAACAAGTTTCAACACTTCTTCTACTCCTTGCAATCATTCACTCTATACCAGTACAGAATTGAAGTGTGCCTCATTACCTTATGGAATATGCTTGACAGAAATAAATGATTAAGAGTTTTTGATTAAAATATACCCTAGGGCAAGTAAGTAGGTCGTCAAATGTCCTTCCTGTCTGTCTTCAAATACCTTAATCCCAGATAATCCCTTCTAATCCCTCTTTAGTCCTTGTGAACTGTCCCTGGGGTCATGCCCCCTCCCCTGAATGAATGAGGATGAGATAGGATAGTCATCCATCATGTCAGTCACCTTCCCTTGACAATGCAGCCCTTTTATCTGGAGAGATCTTCAGCACCAAAACACAACAGTGGCTGAGATAAAAGGCTGTGTTATGTCAACTGGCTCCTCAAAATGCCTGCCTGCATACCTTCCTAAGGTGTTGTATACAACTTACTCCAGTCTGGAAAGCTAAACTACATCAGTGCACTGATAATCCTGAAAAGTCATTCAGTGCAAATGTACCTATATCCTTATATACACCTGTGTTGTAAAGTATACATTGTATGTATCAAATTTATTATTCAATCTTCTGGCAGATTTGAATCAAGTACCAAGAAGACATCTTACTGGTGTTTTTTTTTTAACTTTTCTAAACCTCAAATAGAAATAATCCTCGCAAGAGCTTTGGCTGGGTTTGTAAATTTTTTTCATTCATCCAAAAAAGGAGCTATGCTCACCAGAGTATATTTTCCCAAAAAGAAACATGCAGGAGCAACATATTCTGCATTTCTTCATATTTTGCAGTACTACACGAGTAGGAATCTTCCTCACAGCCTTATTTACTTGAATGCTCCCTACCTTTTAGTGATACAATACAAATGTACCTCACATTTCACCCTTCAGTTATTCACAGACATGTATGGAACGTCCTCTGAATGACCCCTATAATGACATTTTACAGCCTCCTCCTAAGCAGGAGGAGTGACACTGTGTGTATCAACTTCCTTATGTATGACACAGGAACTCACTTATCCCACATAAGGCCACTTAATCCCCCTTTATCCCCCCTGATCCGCACTATAAATCCCCAAGGCCATTTTGCTATCCAAGTAAGGTCACAGGGTGATGGGGAAACATCCATCATGCAATGGTAGGCAGTAGGACCAATCAGGGAATAGGGTAAATACATTTGTTTAGGGTGGAGACATTTTGGATCCGTTACTAGGTATATACCTACATGCAATGTTTGTATCAGTTAATCAGAAGGTATTACTACTGTGCTAGGTGTTGTTTGTGAGCTTGTCTTTTTCTTTGTATGTCCTCATAAATAAAATTAACAAAATTTCCGGCAAAAAAAGGATAAACTCGGTAAGAATACATTGCTATCTACATATATCACTCCATCAGTATACCGTATGGCAGATGCCGAGAACTTTTTAAAAATCAGTAATAATCAATTTAGTCTGTATCAATCATGCAAGACTTACTATGTAGTTGGCACACCTACCAGCATGCTAGACTTATTATTATAGTTATTTATGACTATGGTAATGGCAAAATGATGATACAACTTACCTAAATATGTGAAAACCTACTGGAAAATACTGATTGCTGATAAAATCATGCAACTTTTACATAGTTTTTTCATCAATACACCAGGACAAATTGCAGTCATTGGACATAACATCAAGAGACCAGCAGAGCTGAAGCTCCACCATGCAGTCCTGCTGTGCACTGCAGTCCCAGAGGGTACCTTGGTTACTTGTGCGCAAGAGAGGCATCCCGTTTGGCAGCATGATAGACAAGCAAATGCTATCAGCGCAACCTAACAATTGCCCAGATGCTTAGACTCCAAGCTACTTCAGCGCCAGCCCAACCCACAAATCAAACTTTGGCTAACTCCCAGCATATGACAACAAATATTCCCATCTACATGTGGATATCCCCCGCCAATTAGAACAATGTTCCGTAATCCACCGCTGATACTGCAGGGGTTAATGGCTACCTAAGAGGCCAACAGATAGCCACTGTTTGTCAACAGAAGTACTTGTTTTCCTGGCCAATTTCAAAACCTACCTGAAACTTACTTCTCACAGCAATTGACCTAGGAGGTAAACTTTGTACACTTTTTGCAATGTTTAAACTGAAAGATTCAGGCATGTAGTATTAGTACTACTGTAAGATACATATTAGGTAAAAGGACTAATAAGTCATAAAAACATAGCAATCAATCATTTGCAAGCATCAGAGTCTGATGTTCATGTAGTTTGTACCCCTGCAGACTACATGAACACCCATTCCCAGTATGCAGTCTCACCTATATAGGAGACAGAATCGTCAATAACGTTGAAGGCAGTCGCCTCAATTGAAAGAAGAAGAAGATGCAAGAAGACATTCATACGTCTCGCCAACTTTATATCCAATTCTGCAGAGCTGCATTAACAGTATCTGTTGTTAGCAAAGAAACCATACCTTTCTAAAGGCTATCACCAAGATCAGAATAAAAGTGCCCAGAAGTGAATGCATTGCGTCATTTTTTTGTCACTCGGCAATCTTTGCCAAAAGCTTATCCCGCGTTTCTCCCAACTAATTACCTGGGCCTTGTTAATTACTGGATATACAAACATCTCCTGATAAAAGCTGTCATTACAATCAGCCGAAGGAATAGATCACCTCTAATTAATCCCCTCTAGAAGCCAGGGAAAAGTTTAGACCATGAAAGTAAAGGAATGTGTAACAACACCTGGTTTTACCCAAATTTTTGGAGTCATCGTATTAAAGTACAAACAGACCGGACATCATTATCACATCATATCATAACAAATTGACCAACACATTATCTGGTTGATCACAGACATCATAGGAAATACTTAACACCAAGTAGCACCGGAAGATAATGTGTTTAGTGTTGTTACAGGTAGCAACGCAATCTTCGCCATATTTGCACCGAGACAGCAAATCACTTTATTGTGTGAAGTTGTAAAAAGTATAGTCCTTGTGTAACCAGGGTCAGTCATCAATAATCATTATTACCTACCAATCTTGTACCGCTGCCGTTTTTTTAGTTCTCTCGGTATTGACCCTTAAGCTAGGCTATGCTTAAAGATTTTTCCCACACTGATATTGATAATGGTATGTAGAGGACACCTGTTTGAATGGAAATGTTAAACCTCTCCATTCCTACAGTTATGTGTTCACAGAGACAAATCAACAATTCTCACAGGCTAAAGCTACAATCCCATTTAAACTGGTATCAATTAAACTGTACCCTACACACAAACAACCATCCAGTGATAACATTTAGCAACACAAATTATGACCACCGGAAGACTGCATTTATACGTATATACAGGCAATGTATCAACAAGCATCAATATCCATAAAACCTGACATCAATATATTTTTTCAATTCCAAATGTCACTGGATTGGATACCCTCTTTTAACACAACCCGCGGTTATATTGAAAGCGAATGAATCCATTTTTCTTCCGTAAGCCCCGAGAACCTATAGCACATCCAAAGTGCTTTCTATCAACCATGGGGAAAGATTTGGATAACGTTGACATGCTTCATCCATCAAGATCAACATAACTCATTCCGGGGGAATTTGATAAAAGCAACACAGACAGGTTGAGAGAAAAAATCAAACCTAGCTCGTTTTAACTCTCTGGCCAAAACATATCCACCATTCACCACAGCTAGATCTCTCCTACCTGACACTGACCTTTCGTTCCCACAAGTCTGCCACCTTGCCCGTGCCTTTTTGTTCCAAGAACAGTAAATCCACAACAGGGGAATCTCAGTAATCTGTAAATGCACTGCTTCTTCCCATTACTGACAGGGAAGCCGGACGTTAGTAGGACTAAAGCCAGATGAGGCTTACCGGCAGATCTCATCGGGGATTGAGGGTGCGTAGATTTACGACGGGTAGAAACCCTTGCGGAGACGGTACCGTGTCCCTTTTGGGTGCAATCAGTTTATTGGGTGCGGTGAAAAATGGGTACGATACAGTCAGCAGCTGTCAGTTTTATCCAATCCATGAAAATGCAGCCGACAAAGACATAAATCTATGGAAGCCAACGGATTCGGAAGCAACAGTCAGCCTATTATCATCTCAGGTTGTTATGGTACCAACTATCACATATATGTTAATAATGATTGACTGGTAACAAATCATGTAGCTTGTCCAAAGAACAAAGTTCTTCAGTTGATCATCTAATCTGAACACCCAAAGACAGCGTTAGAAATGTTCAAAGAACATGTAGCTTGCCCAAAGAACAAAAGTTCTTCACCATATCATATAACGTTACATGCAATCTGAATGCCTAGTAAAAGACAGTGATAGAAATGTTGTACATGTTCTGTAATATTTCTGCTAATTTTCTATCCATCACACAAGTTACATATTGTATATGTATATGCTGAACTGTAAAATATCATGCACATTGTCAAATGGATGCAAAATTCTCTATACAGTCAAGCCTGTACAAGTGACCACCTCTACAATAGGGCCACCTGGCCAATGTGACTACTTTTTGGTGGTCCCTTACATAATTTTTCCCATGATCGACATAAACGTTAAGAATCCTGTCTAAACTAAAGTGACCACCTGTCCACATAGACCAGATTTTCTCAGCCCCTTGAGTGGTTTCGTTGGATAGTTTTGACTGTACATTGTTGTATAAAGCAAACAGCAACAACTCTTACCAGACTCTGACTTGGTCAGTCTTGTTAGAAAGAGGGCCCGTGCTGCTGCCCTGCGTCCATTTATACACTTTATCTGAACAATCCGCCAATATCTTTGTTACCACCTTGCTCCCGGGCATCAGGCGCTAAACAACAAATATTTCTCCATAACCTATCGAGTGAGTCAACACCTCTGGGAAACACGGGCGACAAACATGTCTGCCTCTCCAGGCACAGCCACCGCCAGATTCCTTCACCGGGTTCCCGACGTCAAGGTGAATCCCTCGTTGTCAGGGCAACCCGCCCCGGCCAACATCTTCCAATATTTTACTCTCCCAATGAGCAAATTTCTGACAAGCAATCTCGGATAAGTGTGCAACTTTAAACAGTTTTATCACCGGCTGACAAGGGCCGGGAGATTGAAGCCCTGCCGGGGCCTGATATTTCGGGGGTTACAAACAGACCGTAGATATCTCCCCGCTCTGTCAGCCCTGACGTGCTTCTACCCTTCAGCTATCACTGGGATAAGTGGACCTCATTACTTCTTTGACTCGGGGGAAGCTTAAGCAACATTGTCTCTTTTGAGGGGCCGATTCTTCAGTAGTCGAGCAACTGACATGTCCACGGTAATGCCCCAAATCCCCTCCCTTCAAGATGCTGAGATACCAGAGCGGCCCGCCGAGATACGGTAGCATTTATCCAGATACGGGATTAGAACCCCTGGCATTAAGTAGCCCCACCGTTGGATAACATTGTCCTCCATGTAGCTCAATTTTTCTGTAGTGCGGCAACTATCCTGTACCCCTATGAAACAACAAATCCCCGACTCAATACATTCCCAGATTATGATGATCAATCTTAGCCAACTGATTACGAGTTAAGCCCTGGTGTAATCTTTTTTTAACAAAGGTGCCTTTTCGTTATCATTTTACCTTTCTACAATGTATAAGAAAAGATTTCCATGCGTACGATTTCTCGAAAACTTTTGACTCTACTATGATTACATTTGTAAAGTAAGCCATGAATACAACCCACGATAACATTTGACACAATTTTCATGTCTACAATGGCACCAGGAAAACATGCCTTCATTTCCTACCTTAAATAGAACATGTTTCAGTACCTTTTAAGCTCTATTTGAACAATCCCTGCATTCAAAAGCAAGTTCCTTGCCCAAATGAAACATACAGAAGTCCTTGTATTTGAGGAGGATTAACCTACTCTTAAACCTGTCCGGCTTTATTCCTTTTAAAACTGTAACGTTTCTCTTAACTGTTTTGAATAATAACTTCATCTTTCTTACATGATACACCGGATGTAAGCCTCGTTACCGTATCTCTACTGAGTGAGTGTCTTTTGGTGAGTTTTTCTTCACCATGGATATGCAAATGTTCACAAAGTATCATATAACATCATTCTAAATTCTCAGACGCCTGGTTGCTTTCCGAGTTGTGGAGGCATTTCACTTTGAATTTGGGCTTAAGCTGGAGCCATGCATGACGCCCCGTGACGCTAGTAAGTCAACGAGATTTAAGCCTTCTTCTTTGCTTCCTAGCTCGGGAAGAATGTTAAGTGTCTAGTTGGAAAAAATAGTTCTAAATGAGATTGTTTGCCCCAAACTCTGCAAACGTTCCCCACAATGCATCGCCAGACGAGGGGGATGTCCACGCGACCGGGGTCCAGAAGAGGAATGTTGTCGCCCTGATTGATCGAAAAGTTTCAACTTGTGTCCAGTTTGGCTGGGTAAACGCGATTTTCTCCAAACTCTCAACAAACGGGGCAAATGTTTTTGCCCGCGTTTCCTGTCAGAGGTGTTTGCTGCGGTGACCTACGGCGTGAAAAATGTGGTTTGTTGTGACTCTGGGCAAATCCGGGATTCACTTTGTCGTGTTTGGCAAAGTTTGACGGTTTAAAATTCAATTAGAAACAACAGGTTGCTAGTCCTGCATTCAATGTGTTCTTGAGAGACTAGAGAATTTCAACGGGTTGATATAAAAGGTCATGGTCAAAAAAAGGGTTTGAGACAGCTTTCTCTAAGATGCAACTGAACTTCTAAGAATAAGTTATGCAACACACAATAAAAGCAAAATACAAATATATTTCTCCAAAAGCAATACTGTTCTACATACTGGCTGTGAAAATTACTCTGGGCATTTGCAAATCCAAGTTCTTTCTATTGTTCAAGACAGATTGATGATTGTTCTTCATCATGATTTAGTGATATTTGTTCGAATCTAAAAAAAAAACATCTCCAGAAAAAAAGTACCTACCGACAAAAGACCAAAGCCAATTCCACAGCAATATGAAATGAATCGATAAACTTTGTGTTTACG